GGGGAAGAAGTGGTTGAACTTGAGGATTACTGAGCCGGAACTGTACTATGGTACCTATTCTGCTTGGTCAGGGCTCTTCTTAAATTTATTGAGGTTTTCATATTTGTAAAAAACTCAAACTCTACTTGTTTTGACTTTTGCTGAACCAAATTTGTAACGAGAGAAATCTTGTTTTGAATGACTTATTTCTCTTAAGTCTGAACTGGAGGTTCTGATTTATAGTTGGCTTCTTCTGTGGCTCAAATGAGTGTTTGAAGGTTCTCAGCTTTGGTTGATTTTTGGTTTTTTGATTTTTGTGTGTCCTCTGCTCTGTTCACCCTCTCCTATATTTATAAGAAATGCTTTGGAGTGGGGCTTCTTTCTCTTAATAATGGGCGGCAAAATTTCCCAAAAGATCTTTCATTTTTAAATGTAAAAAAAGGGGGTTTTATCAGTTCTGGCAGATAAGCACTCAATGGTCAGTTCTTAAGACAATTACTTCCCTGTTTTTTTTTTAAAAAGAACCTAACCCCTCTTTAATTCCAACTGCCCCCTGTGAGAGCTCAAACTGTGATGGTTAGTTTGATTTTCCAGTTTGAACAATGCCTCATTGAATCTGAATTCTCTGGGCTTTTAGTGTTGGGCTGGGTGTGCAGAATTTTGGCCCAAACAATGCCCCCTTGAATATGAATTGTTTTGAAAAACGTTTTTTTTTTCAATTTTCAATGGTTCAGATTGAATCAATTCGCCATTAATGTTGCGTGCCACTTTCTTCTGTTTCGATTAACCCATGTGTGCCACGTCTTGTCTCTTGAGCTAGACTTCGTGGGAAACTGGGTAGCTACTAGCTAGTTATTAGCTAGCCATCATTAGATGATGCCTCGTCTTCTCCACGATTTCGAGCTCTTTTAAATAAGTTTTAAAACCCAGCAGTTCTTGTTTATTCGAAAACCTAACCCTTTTAGACTTTGTTTTCGTTCCATATTTTCTCATAATCTTTCGCTTTTCTCAGACTTTTGACTTTTTCTGAATTATTTCCTCTATTCTTAGCTTAACTCTTGAAAATGTCATCTCCAAAAAACCATGCCCAGTCTTCCTCTTCTGTTCCTCCTGCCTACATTACTGGGGCTGGTATTGATAAGCACGCCATTGAGGTTCGGTGCAAGCTCCATCCTTTTGCCCAAAAAAACCTGGGCGAAAGTGTCTTCCACTTGTTTGAGAACACCCTAGTTTTAGGTCCCCACTGGTTTGGCCATGTCCCTGCTGAAATGGAAGAGTCGTTCGTTCCCATCCAATGAGGTGAGGAACAGTCCAGTCAAGTGGGCGAACTGAATTGACAGACTTCTTCCGAGATATTGAGCTCACTAGAAGAGGGCTGGAATCTATGACGTTGTTCTCCTATCCAAGCAATCCATCAATAGGGATGAGAACGTACTTGCCGTTGCCCTTTGTTTCTGGAATTCTGCCAGTAATACATTTGATTTTCGTGTGGGCCCGATGACACCAACCATGCTGGATATGGCTCAGATCTTTGGGTTCAGACCCCATGGAAGGCCTGTTGATGCTGTTGGTGACTATCATCGAAGAAAGAACCAAGAAAAACTGTCCAAACTGTTCACTATCTCTCCAGCCACAATCAACCAGAATTGTTCTTTCTCTAATTATTTGAGGAAGTTCAGTACTGAGAAGGACAAGGATCAGTAACACATGCTGTTCTTCTGTACTAGCTGAATAGATTCGTCTTCCTCAATCATTCCTCGGCAGTTCTACTTAAGTACAGGCACCTGGCAGAAGCCATGCACAACCACACTGATGTTGGGCTTAGGCCTACAGTTCTGGCTCATTTGTTCAAGAACCTGCATACTGCCACCCTGGAGAATTCATTGAACCTGTCTGCTCCCAGCGCATTTTGGATGATCCAGATCTGGCTGCAGGTTTACTTCCCAGAACTGAGGTTCCAAGATATAGTTCTGCCTGAGGATCAAGTACTGGCTCTCCCTTTAATGTCGGCAGAAGTGCCCAAGCGTTCAATCGAGGAGTACCTGATGTTCTTTAGGCACTGCACCAAGAGGTCTGCTGCTCAATGGTAGGTGGTGCTCAAAAGAACTTATCCCTAGTTTCAGCCTGGATACCGGCTGGTTGAGAAGGAGCCACTCAAAAGAACTTATCCCTAGTTTCAGCCTGGATACCGGCTGTTTGAGAGGGAGCCCGAAGAGGAATATGCCAGAATAGACTTCAGGACGAAATTCCTGAGTGTTACCCTGCCGAGAGATCTGCCTCATGAAGGTGGAAAGCCTCCAAATTATCATTTGGGGATAGAAGTCTATCATCCCAACTTCTGCGCAAGACAACTTGGCTGCCCTCAGCTCATTCTGCTCAAATCCTATAGGAGTTGCAATCGGGCTACTTCCTGGAGAGATGCAGATGATCTGGAAGTGCACAAGGATGCCAGATGCGCAGTGAATAAGATAAACAACAGCGCAGATGCTCTCTATGCAGCCTAGGAACTGAATTCCTGCAGTTCTGCTGAGTTTGACGCTTGGTGGAAAGCAAGATTCCAAGGCCTGGCTGCCTCCAGCACTGCACTGAAAATCCCTTTTGATGGCTGGGATTCTTGGATTGTTCATGCAGGAGAGGAGACTCACAAATTCATGGTGTAGACCATCAAGGCCATCAATGCTCAAGCCATAGAAGGTAGACCCTTGATTCTGTCTGTGATTTATTCGTTTTGTCTGTGATGGATTCTAACATTTTGTTCTGCCTACAACAGACCCTTCTTTAACAAGGAACATAGGTGGTCAGTCTGTCAAGGCTAGAGAAGTGATTGGTAAGCTTTCCCTCATTCTGTTTCTTCTATCTTTTCCTGCTAGATTGGCTTCTGATTTGTCTGTTTTCTATGCAGTTAGTTCTGTCATTGCTGCTGGAGATCTGGAGCTTCCCTCTGGATATGAAGAGGATGAAACTCTGGTAAAACAACCACCTGTTAAGGCCACTCTTTCTGCCAGAAGGAAAAGAAAAGAAACTGCTCTTGCTCAGGCGAGCGCTGCTTAGCCTGAAGTTTCTAGTAAGATTCTGACATTCCCAACTATTTCCTTGAATCTGTTCTGCTTTGCCCATTCTTCTAACCTTCATTCATTGTTCTGTGCAGCTGAAAGTCCTCCTCCTCCTCTACTAGGTCAAAAAAACTTAGAAAGAGGATCAGAGTTGAATATGATGAGATAGAAGAGCCTGTAGCCGTTCCAACTGAGACTTCTAGAACTGATGATAAGCTGCGAAAGGCTTTCGAAGCTGTTGAGCGGGAGAAGGAGAAAGAAAGAGAAAGAGAAGGAGATGTTCCTTCGAAGAAAGAAAAAGAGAAAGATTCAGAAGAAGAAGTGAGATTTCATTCTAATGGCACAATTGTTTTACATTTGCTCTTGTTCTTCTGACTTCTAACTTCTGACTTATGGTCATTTGTAGGAGGAGATTC